TTTATAATAAGTTATATATATATAAATTATATTTTAAATTTATGATAAATAATTTTTATTATAAAAAATATTTTTATTCATTGATAATTTAATTAAAAATATTAATACTTAATTCATAAATAATTATAACAAATAAAAATTGAATTAGATAAGAAGTTAAAAATATCTCTATAAACTCTTTCATTAAAGAAAATTACATAAAAACACTCTCGTCCAAAATAGAGATTCATGCTTAATCAACTCCTATATATTAAACACTAACTTCTATTTTCATGAAAATATTTTAAGGACTTTTTTTTGACAAGAGAATTTGTTAGAATTTTTTTAACCTCTTATCTAATTCAAGTTTTATCTATCATAATTATTTATTAATTAAATATTAATATATTAAAGTAAATTATCAACAAATAAAAAATATTTTTTTACAATAATTTTTTTATTATAAATCTAAAATATTTATATACACTTATTTTAAATATAATTTATATATTCATATGATATTTTTTATATAATTAATTATAAATTTTAATTATATTATACATAATAAACATGTCTATGTATTGCACAAGTTAAAATACTAGTTATTTATTATGAATAATGTATTTTTGATGTATAAAAAAAGTTTATTTTGTATATAAATAATTAGTCATAAAATTTTGTATATATGAAAATTATATTATATGTGTATAATATATTTGTTTTCTATAATTAAAATTAGAAATATGAAATAACTTTCTTAATTAAGTTATAAAATTTAATGTGCAATATTTTATATCTAAGAATTAGACTATTTTTTAACTAACTTACATATTGTATTATCAGTTAATATAATTTTTATTAGATTTTATAATTAATATTAATATTATAATAAATTTATATTTTATTAATTTGTTAAATAAGTGAACAATGGAAAATTATTTTTTAAATAACCATATTACCGATAAATTTACCAACTCTCTTACTAAATTGTAAATTTGGGCCTTAAATTGATCCAACCCAAATACCAACAATAGGCGAGGAGACACGTGACAAAAAACAAAAGAAAGAAATGGCCCACAGCCACAAATAAGATGACCAACAAATTTTTACCCTAAAATTAGGAAGCAAAGACACGCAACTCTCTCAATCGTCCACCACCGCCTCAGATTCCTCTAGAGTTTCATTTTTATATTCCTTCTAAATTAAACTAAATATTTATCATTACTGAAATTTTCATGGAACACATTATAACAGGAATTTGGATAAAGTAATTTCACATTATTATTACATTAATTCATCACAAGTTTAATGTCCTGGTTATCTACAGTACACATCTTGATCTAAAATAATGATAATTTTTTTTTATTATTACATTATTTGTGTGTTTTATTGCTATTATTATTTTCTTTTTATATCATATTATTATATGATAATCTCAACTTTATTCAAATAATATATATAAAATTTTAAATTTAAATTTATATTATTATTATTATTATTATTTATAACAATGTATAAAGAAAATACTTTCTTTGTTTTAATGGTTATTTTTTAAAGATTAAGTATATTTATACGTTGTATTTTAATTTTTTTAATATATACATTGAAAGATAAAATAAAAAAAATAAAAAAAATAATTATCTAATTTAAAAATAGTTATCTTTTTTTTAAAAAAATAACTGTCCTTTTTTTTAATTTAAAATAATAACAATATTTTTTTTATAGAAACACAAAATATACTTTTTTAGTTTTAATAACTAAAATAAAATAAAATAATTAATATATAAAATAATTAGTATAACATTATTTTTATTTAAATAATAATTATAAATAAAATTTTTAGATATATAATTATATTAAATTAAATATTTTATAAAAATGTTTATCTAACATTATAATTCTTATAGATTTCAAAAAGATTGTTATGTGTTATATAAAAATAATTACTATATTATATGACCAATGACTTAGTGTCCATACTTTTTGCTTGGTCTTCTCTTCATACTCTAAAGCAAGCATCTGTTTATGTATTGAATCATGCTTTGTCTTTTATTTTTTAATTGTTTTTGTATTATGAATCAAGATCATCTCCTCCTCAGGAAAACCAATAACTAATGAAAGTGCATGTTTAATTTTTACTTTTTCTTTCTTTCAAGTTTAATAGTTGTTGTTGTCTTTGTTTTTTCATCTTCATTCATTCTTTTCCGATCACATCATTCAGAAAGATACTAACAACAACACTTGAGTTTCCGCAACAATCATAATTTTTTCTTTTTAATTTTGTTTGCAAGCATTCAATTAACCTTCGTTGAAACCGTGCACCGTTATGTTTCTAAGAAACCCTTCCTACACAAACCCAGAATCCTGCCAGCACCTTGCTGAGTACAAACTCAAGCATGGTTTCAATGGTTACAAAGTCATTCAAAAGTTCCTAGTGACCTCTCCAATTGGGAAAACCAGTGTGAAGAAACCCAACACAAAGGTACCCAGATGCAGTTTCTGTAATGGGTGTGAAGGGAGGCTCTATTTATGCCTGATTTGTTCTTCATTCTCGTGTTTGGATCATACCCTTTTGCATCCTCAATCAGAAACTGGTCATGCTGTTTTTGTGGACATTGAAAGGGCTGAACTTTATTGTGGGGTGTGCCGTGATCAATTGTATGACCCTGATTTTGACCAAGTTGTGATGTCTAAGCACTCAATGGGGGTGGCAGGTGGTGCCACTGGGAATGAAAGCATTGGCCAGAGGTTGATCAAGAGGAGGAGATTGGTTTCTGGGGTTGGATTGGATTTGCAAAAATCTAAGTGTAGAGTTTCCACCAAAGATCTGAGAGCTAAATCGTGTTATCCTATGGGGTTGAGAGGATTGAACAATCTCGGTAGCACGTGTTTCATGAATTCTGTGCTGCAAGCATTGTTACATGCACCTCCTTTCAGGGACTATTTCCTGAGTGGTGGACACCGTTTGGAAACTTGTCATCAGAGAAGAATCTCGGATCTGATGTGTTTGCTCTGTGATGTTAACGCTATTTTTTCAGCTGTGTATTCGGGGGATCGAAATCCGTATAGTCCTGCTCAGTTTCTCTACAGGTCTGATACTGCTCTGTGTCATACTCATACATACTCTTGCATTTTAGACTTTGTCTCGTGAAAAATAGTGGATGTTATTTATTAGAGGGGACTACTAATGATCTGCTTCAGCTTTGTTTGATTAAAATGTTCGTGATAAAAAAAAATTTGGTTCATTTGTGAATTGCTTGGTTTTGAGTTTTATGATAGTCAACCAACTGGAGATGCATTTGTTTGAGTAAGTATAGGAAAAAGGAAATTCATTGATTCCATGTCTGGTCAATTATTCTGAAATATTCGATTTGGTCTGACTGAATTTGCAAAAGTAACATGTTCTCCAGTGAAGGCTTCTGTGACAGTTTTAACTTGAAGTTTTTCATGATAAGTTTTAAGTTGATAGTCTGTTGTATGAATCTAGTTGCAAGTTAGCCAGAGCAGCACCAATTGAAACCAAAAACTTTTTCATGGCTTGGGATTAGACCCACCCATTGTGTTACTTTGGTGCTCAAATTCTTGTTTCTTTTGAATGGTGAAACTTTTTGTTTTTGTTTCAAGCTGGTGGCAGCATTCAGCGAATTTAGCAAGTTATGAGCAGCAGGATGCTCACGAGTTTTTCATTTCAATGTTAGATGCAATCCATGAGAAAGAGGGCAAAACAAGGAATGGAAGCAAAGGTAATTAAATGTTGAGATTTGGTGTTTTTCCTGCAATTTTGTTGTCCTATATGCACAATGCTGCTTTGTGTTATAATTATAGCTGTAGCTGTTTTCATAATGACACATGTTATCTGAAATAATAATAATAATAATAATGCGGCTATCTGAAAATTTAGTCTCTCTTTTTTTTTTTTTTTTTTTTTTTTTTTTTTTTTTTTCAATCAGTAGTTATTACAATGACAGTAACCGTGATCAAAGATCTTATGCATACTACCTCCAATACTTCACCACTAGACTGACCCTAGCAGTTCTTGGAAGTTTAACCCATGAAAACATGGACTTTAACCACAAATGTTCATTCCAAAGTTTTTGCTGTATGGGAAACATTGTAACTAAGAAACATATTATTCAGTTGTTATGTTTTATTCAAATGCATGATGCATGGTTATTGTTTTATACAGGCAATGGAGACTGTCAATGCATTGCTCATAGGGTGTTCTATGGGTTATTGAGATCAGATGTTACCTGTATGGCATGTGGATTCACCTCAACAACCTATGACCCTTGTGTGGACATTTCCCTTAACTTGGACACTCATGTGTCTTCAACAGAAAAGGGTAAAAAGTTTACCAAACAGAATGAGGATGGCGGAATGTCTACACTTTCGGGTTGTTTAGATTTGTTCACTAGGCCAGAGAAGTTGGGGTCAGACCAGAAACTGTACTGCCAGAATTGTCAGGAAAGGCAGGACTCATTGAAGCAAATGTCCATTAGAAAGCTTCCTTTAGTACTTAGTTTGCACGTAAAACGATTTGAGCACTCGTTTGTTAAGAAGTGTTCTAGAAAAATAGACCGCTACCTACACTTCCCATTTTCCTTAGACATGGCTCCATATTTGTCCTCCTCAATCCTCAGAGCCAGATATGGGAACAGGATTTATACTTTTGGGGGTGATGAATCAGATATGTTTTCTGAGTTTGAGATTTTTGCTGTGGTGACACATTCGGGGACGCTTGAGTCTGGTCATTATGTTTCTTTCGTGCGTTTAAGGAATCAATGGTACAGATGTGATGATGCTTGGATAACCGAGGTTGACGAGGCAACAGTCAGAGCTTCACAGTGTTACATGATTTTCTATGTGCAAAAAACTATGCAGGATAAAGCGTATGAAGACCTTAATCATGTGCCAAATTCCCCTGGAAGAGAACTATTTCATCCTATTTCTGGATGTTGCTAGAGAGGAGTATATTAAAGGGAGTACATGACAATCAAAGAGTGAATTACAATGTATGTTTTCTATAGCATTGAAAGCCAGCTTGATGCTCAGAGAGGGAACTTATTTTTTTTCTGATTTTCCCTCAGGTTTGAAGAATCACATTTTCAGTCAACAAGATGGATTTGAAATATGAATCTTAAAAGTTCAGACTGTTAAAAATTGGATCTGGGAACAAGAAGCCAGGTTGCTAATTTGTTTCTAATTAAATATTTTCATGTGGTTATGTCATTGGCAGCATTGAAACAAAGATCAAGGAGCTAGAAGTGACTCAACTTTTCACAACATGCTTACTCAAATTCTTTAATCGCAGGTAGTCATGTACATAACTCTTTTCAACTGATGCTAACAAAAGTTGTTCAACAACCATTGTTACTCTTCTGTCTCCACCAACTGAAGTATGGAGAAAAAGAAAGGCAAGGGCAAAAAGTAGATTAAGTGGATGACTGTTTCTAATTCCTGTGTCTAACAAGGACAGTGTAATAATACTCATGTCCTATGTGCACATTGCATTATGTCTGCCTTTTATTGTGAGAATTCGAATTACTTTAATGGGTTGCTTCTTTGGTGCACAATAGACAAGGGTTTTGTTCAAGACATGTTTATTCTTTTAAAGGTGATGTGAGGAATATTATCGCTCTAACTCGAAGTTATGTTTGCTGATTGAGTGAAAAATGCTGATATGTGATTAATAATATCTTAGATTCATCTCAAGAAAGTAGTTAATTGATAATAAGATGACAACATGCCTCTCTCTCTATATGTTTTTACAAATTTAGACATTCAAACGTGCAAGATAAATTTGGAATCAAAGGGTGAAAATGGATTTCACTTACTATATCCGACTCTAGTATTTTATCATCCACCGTTATTTGACATATACCATTGACTTTAATTTATATACATTGATAATGTGAAATATTTTTGCATAGGAGTTTATCTTATCAATCACATTATTCATTATTGAATATGATAATGTGATAGTGGTTAAATCTTAATGGATGTTTGTAAAAATAATTTACAAACAGTGCATATAAGTTAACTTTTGATTATAATTCAGGATTTGATGGTTTTTAAAGTTCTGAACATGTATCTTCTTAGTAATAATAATTTGGTATCCCCTTGTCTATACCAGGAAGATGTGGATGTTGGTACATAGAGTAAAATTTTAAAATAGGAAGAAAATATGGTTGTTAGTCTAAGTGGTACTGAATTTAATTTTTTTAAACAAGATTTTAAGTTTGAATCTTTTATATGAAAAAAATGTAATTAAAAAAAGAGATTCATGTTTCTCTTATGAAGATTAATCATTAATAAAATTAGTGATATTTCAAATCAATAATATAATTAAAAAAAAAAAAACCATTTTAGGATAGGTGCTTATTATTACAATAACGAAGGCAGGGAACAAATATTACATAATATATAAAAGAAAAAAATCTGGTTACATGATGGGGTTTGTACCTGTATGAATTCATTTCCGGTTCCTTCAAATGGGGCCACCCTAAAACATAAAAATAAAAAGTAAATATATAAAAAGAAAGATATAAAGTTTAAGAACACGCTTAAAGATGAAGAAATGGTGAGGCATCCCACAAAAAGATAAAGTAGTGATAATCTTCTAGGCAGATAGGGTATAGTTGATACTTGATAGCCGAGGGTTCAGGAGTGATAATATACTCTTTTTTTTTATTATTTATTTCTTTTAAATGTATGATTTGATTTAAAAGTGGCCCTCCACCGTTGGGACTATCCATTATTCAGTGTCCTTAGCTATTATTACTTCCACTTCATACTCGTTAGTCAAAAGAGTACAACAAATTAACAACTTAGATCTTTAGATGGGTGTTAGGATATGGACCAAAAATATTATAAAGGATGTGTTTTGGGGCATAACAAATGCCGTGTGAAAGAGGATTCCAGGTTTTAACCTATAAAATTGGCAACTATTATCAATATTCTGTGGAATCAGGTAGTGTAGATGGGTAGCATAAATATTAATTCTGCCAACAATTAATTTTCGATTATTTTTTAGAATGGGATTTCCAGGTTGGAAATTCACGCATTCAGATAATCACGACCATTGAACGAATATCAAACAATTCATCTTATTTTCATAAATATAACTTTAATATTAAATGTGAATTTTACAAACCTAACCATTAGATTGAAGGTTCATATCTCTTATATCATATATACAAAATTTTATATTAATCCAACATGATTTGATACTTCATTCTTATAAAACAAAATTGACATAATGTATTCATTTCAAAATATACTAAAACACGAACACTTTAATAACTTTTAAGTTGTTGTTCGATTTTAACAAAATTTAATATACACATATAAAGTGATATGAACTTTCAATTTAACAGTTGAGTTTACAAAATTCATAATTAATTTAAAGTTATTGAGCGGTATAATATTTAGTAAAACTTATACCGGTGTTATTATAACCTTTTCTAACTTAAAACATGTATTCCAAATGTGAATACTCCATTTTCATCCGATGGTTTCAACTCATAAATATGCATGATTATTTAAATTCAGAGAATCTATTTTTTTTTTTACCGGGTACAAGAGATTTTAATCCAGTACCTCGTACAATTCGTTCTAGTGAGTTACTAATTTGCCTATGATATTAAAGTGACCAAGGCACTAACCAAAATTACTAAATAAATACGGTTAAATTTTGACCATACAACTATATATAAATAATCAAAATTAAATTGAAAGAATTACAAACTAATGTTTTGATCTTGATTACTATGGTAAGACAACCATCAGTAGTATAGCTCTTGTTAAAACTGCCTATCTCTCTTGAAATGTCTCTTGCTCATAATAATAATAATAATAATAATTTATAGTACATTTATTTCTTTCACCTTTCAAGGATAGAGTGAATAAACGACAAATGAGTCATGTTGGGTTATTCAAGAGTGTTTTGAGTGTTAGGTGAGTGAATCACAAGGGTTTTTACTGCTTTATCCTCAGCACTTTGGGATAAATCATGGTACTACTCTAGTGGTGAATTTAGTGCACTTCGAAGATTCTTCTTTCCTTTTACTGAAATAAGGCAAAGAAAAAAGTCCAAGAAATAATTCCTAAAGAAAAGATTTTATCCACCACCTTTGCAAGTTTTCATCCATTTCTTTCAAGAAAGTCCAAATGGATCAGATCAAGAATTATATGCTTAGAGGATCTTACACTGTTTCAAAACAAAACAATAAGTCTTACACATTTTAGTATTTATGCTATTCGATATTTTCTTAAAGGATTAAATAAATTTTTGTCCTTCAACTTACGAATTAAATTTTTAAGTTCTTTTAATATATTTTTTTTTATTTTTAATCATTGATTAATTTTTTATCACATAAATTAGTTCTTTAATTACATTTCGTATGTTTTTTTTTTGAAGTAACATTTCGTATGTTAAATAATGATTTGTACGATCATGAATGAATAATAAAATTACACATTTTATATGATTTGGTATCTAGGTATCTTACTCAAATTGATTTTTGTATAACTTTGAAGTTTTCTTGAACGAATATATATATATA